ACACACACACACACACACACACACACACACACACACACACACACACACACACACACACACACACACACACACACACACACACACACACACACACACACACACACACACACACACACACACACACACACCACACACTCACTCACACACAAACACACACCCCAACACACACACCACACACACACACACACACACACACACACACACACACACACACACACACCACCACCACACACACCCACCATTACCACGCACCACACACATTCCAACACACACACCATTCCCACCACACAGACACCACCACACACACACACACACACACACACATACACACACACACACACACACACACACACACACACACACACACACACACACACACACACACATCCACACACACACACACACACACACACACACACACACACACACACACACACACACACACACACACCACCACTACACACACACACAGCCACACACACAACCACCACACACACACACACACACACACACACACACACACACACACACACCACCACCACACACACACCATTACCACCACACACATACCACCACACACACACACACATCACCACCACAACCACACATACAACCACACAGTCACACACACACACACCACCACCACACACATACCACCATACACCACCACACACATACCATACTCACAACACACATCCACACACACACCACCACCACCACACACCAACACACATCCACCACCACACACACACACACACACACATACACACACCCACACCACCACCACCACCACACACACCCAACACACATCCACCACCACCCACACACACACACACCCACATACACACACCCACACCACCACCACCACCACACACACCCAACACACATCCACACACACACCACCACCACCACCACACACACACCCAACACACATCCACCACCATACACACACACACATACACACACCCTCACACACACCACCCACCCACCCCCACCCCCCCCACACACACACCCAGACACACCAAACACCCACCACAACACACCACCACCAAACACACACCCACCACAACACACCACCACCAAACAAACACCCACAACCACACACCACCATCACACACACCAAACACACACACACACCCAACACACACACCACACACACACCACACAAACACACACTCACACACACACATCCAACACACACACCACACACACACACACTCACACACACACAAACAAACAAACAACTCCATGGTTCGTATGTAGTTGTGCACGAAAACATTAGAAATTAAAAAAATGTTGCCATAATTGAATAACGGAAGTTGAGATCTTCCAGAATGTTGAATACGTAAATTACTTGTGAGCATTTGACTTAATTTAGTGATTGTTGGTTAAGTCTTCCACACAGTAACCGTGTATGACGTCACACCAGACCATTCCTGACACATTATAGTCCTTGTGATACAAGATTTTCTTCTTTATCAACATGAACTTAATTTTGAACTTAAGCAGGAACTGAGGTTAATATGTATGCAAGATATTGTACTCAAAGACAATGCAGCATTCGTCAGAGAAAAACGGCGATCCTACATCATAATCTAGTCCTTGCTAAGTTCTGCGTGTATGTCCATTCGTCCGCTTGTACGATAGCTTAATTAGCACGATTTTTTACGGCATTTGACTAGGGAACAGTGTACTATTAGTACGAGGGTCCTAGATATAAGTGTATTGATCAAAGATAGACTGTCGCTCATTAATTTTATATATCTTATGATCAGCCTCTTGTCGATCCTAGCCCAGCTGCTACTGATTAGCGAGATTTCCGACAGTAATTCTCTATACTTCTGAGAGGAGTCATACCCGGACTTCAGTTCACTGACAGACTGACAGAGTCGATAACTACTAGTGTTTTACAAAGGAATATATATATATACTGATAGGTAATTTGATTTCGTGGGCTAATATTTGGCGGGTGTCCAGGTCAGAACACGCCCGCGGGCATTGGATTTCGCGCAGTTCTGCCTTATCATAACTCCACAGTAAACATATAAACATGTGTATATAAACAGCCATTTAACATAATTTACAGATATAATGATTCACGATACAAATAGTTGGTGGGTATCTATTTTCGCGATTGTATATTTGATGACCGTGAACGCAGTGAAAGTCATCCAAAACAAATATTATCAACTTTAACGATAGATACACGAGGAAGGAGAAGTTGGAAAAGCTGGCATGACTTAATTCGAATTGCTCAATGCTTACGTGAGTTCTTTTGTTCAGGAAGCCAATTTATTGGAGATAATCGAACTGGAAACGTTACACAAAGCATACATGGTTGCCTGTAGTGATATAACACCTGTAGAGCATTCAGTATTTTATAATAAAGTATTTCACATTAATAATTTCACATTCAGTACAACACATAGTTTTAAAGTAAGTATACAAGTATATGGTTCGTCACAAACAAAATAAACATTTATCCTCAAGAAGACCGTAACAAATATTTTCTGATGACCTTTCGTTATGTTGAAACAGTACGACAGTACACAGTACAACACATAGTTTTAAAGTAAGTATACAAGTATATGGTTCGTCACAAACAAAATAAACATTTATCCTCAAGAAGAACGTAACAAATATTTTCTGATGACCTTTAGTTATGTTGAAATCTTAAAACGAATCGGAATTAAAAACAAATCATTTTGCAAAAGCATTTCGTATCAAGCAAGTATTTAGCATGTACATGTAGTACCGACTTTTCAGAGACAAGAATCGGTAACAAATCTGCATCATTATGTCGCACGGTCTGTTTATATAGTAACCATAACAGTATTTCTTGAAGCCTCAGAATCAGTCTATTATCAGTTTATTGTACATCTGTACTATTTCCTTACCTCCATTTCGTCTTTTCTTTATCTTCTATCAAGAATCCAAAAAGTTACAGCTGTGTTTGTAAGAGGTGTCGTTAACAGCTCAAAACCGTCCAGGTTAAGAATGTCCCACCGATTTTCAAATGTACACAAGGACTCAATATACTGAGAGAGAGAAAAAAGCGCATTAGTTTTCGTGAGGGATTCATTTTCATTGATTTTGTAGGTACTTTAAATCTACGAATATATATGTCCATGAACTATTAATATAAGTGCTTTGCTGGTTGTCAAATATTTTTCACTTAATACAGCATTAATTAGCATATATTTATTTCGACAGAATTCCATTTGTTGAATTTTATCGTGGGTGTTTTGATAACTTGATAAAACCAAAGGCTAGACGAATATTCCTCTGGACCCATCACCGCACATATTAATTTGGACAGAGCTGGAGTTAAAGTCTAGAAAAGTCGGACAAACAAAAGATCTATTATGCATCGAGTTAAAAAGTTTGTGACAAACCAAATATAGAAATTTAAGTAGTTTGTATCTTTTAGTTCCTGCCCATTGTGCTTAACATCACCAAGTCGAGTCAAAACTATTACATAGCTCGCGGTGTCATGGATGAACTGGGATATGATTAAGTTTGTACGGGTCAGTGTTGATGTGTTTCCGTATCCCTTAACGAGAACGAAGGAGACAGGGCATGATGGAAGAAATTTGGAAGTCACCTAATAATGAAAAAATCTGGAAAACATTGAGTGAATATATGAAACATAATTTCACTGCATTACCCTCCAAAATATAAGTCGATGTCATGTAAACAGTTAAAGTCTGTCGGTGAAGATATTTGGGTATATTGTCGAATCTCTCTAGAAACACACTTCAAACCTTTTCGCGGGGATTCACTTCCGGTTAACGTTGGCATACTTAATCATAGGTCCGGTAATCAAATATCCGGATTTTGATACTATCTTTAATTTGTTTTCTATTGTTAATGACTTACCAGATATTGTTAACTCTGAAATATACCTCTTTGCGGATGATACCAAAATTTTCAGAATGATAATGACAGAAGATGATTACAGAATACTCCAAGAGGACCTGGATGCCATGTATGAATGGAGCAATACTTGGCTTCTAAAATTCCATCCAGACAAATGTAAGCAGATGAACATAAGAAAGAAAACTCAGACACCAGAGCAAAGATACCAAATCAATAATAAGCCATTAGATATAGTGGACAAGGAGAAAGATATCGGCGTAACAATTGACAGTAATCTAACATTTGAAGTTCATATCTGTGAAAAGATAAAGAAAGCGAATTCCATGTTTGCAATAATAAGGAGATCATTCCAACATCTAGATCCAGAAATATTCACCCCACTTTATAAGAGTCTGGTGCGGACCCACCTTGACTTTGCCAGTCCAATTTGGTCTCCTTATAAAATAAAATATATTGAAAAAATAGAAGGAGTGCAAAGAAGAGCAACAAAACAGATCCCTTGTATGAAAGGTCTAAGCTATGCAGAGAGACTTCGTCAGCTGAAACTTCCAACACTAGCATATAGAAGGATCCGAGGGGACATGTTAGAAATATATAAGATACTCCACGAGCATTATGACCCAAGGGCAAGCAATGTGATTAAACGTTGGAAGGATGTAACAGAAAGGCAAGGACAAAGGGGCAACTCGATGAAAATATACCCTCAACACAGCAGTTCAGAAATACGGAAAAACTACTTCACACTTCGAGCAGGAAAGATATGGAATAACCTACCTGAAGAAATTGTGACAGCGCCATCGAAAAATACATTTAAAAACAGACTGGATAAATACTGGAAAGATCAAGAACTATTATATGACAATTACAAAGCGGACATAAAAATGATAGGAAGTGGCGAAACAAACCTTAAATGGGACGAGGAAAAGGAGTCTGGTGAAGAGGACTAAAGTCCTGTACCGGAAACTATCGCTAAGTATCGCTAAGTAAGTAAGTTATGTTCTTTTGTTATTCATCGAGCTAAAAATTTGTATTGAATAGAATATTTTTGAAAAAATACTTACAGTATGAAGAATTTGGGTCTCAAATTCAAGTGACGTCACAATATCTCGATAACAATTAAGATGACGCCAACAATCTCGCGCTATCTCGCGAACAATTACGCATGGTTACAGCATCACGACGATTTAGACTGAAAGCTGCTTTTTATAATATCTCATGAAAACAACATGTCACCTACGAATACCGACGACATAGATATGGGAAAACTGCTACAAATATGCGGAGAGTACGTATTGAAAGATATATATATATATGTATATCGATTTCATTTTCAAGTTAAAACTTTAAGTAGAATTAATGTATCTATATATATGACTATTGTATAATAGAAATTCAACGCATCGATTTGTTATGATTATTAGGCGAATAAAAACCATCAAACAACAAAAAAGGTTTTTATATAATTTCCATGTGTATAAATATAAAGTGTAATTTCTTATGTTTAGTTTGGAGAAGTACCAGAGCTACTGTCATTCGCTTTGTGAATACGCGAGCAACCCAGGCACTACCATCAACAGGAGTTCTGTCCCCTTCTACATCCTCCAGAAATTCGCGTACGACCAGAAGAAATTAGCAAACATTAGTAAGTATGCTAGATTGTGCTGTTTACATAAGACCAATGATTCTGACATTCTGATTTAAATAATTTCATTTTAAACAATTAGAAAATATGTGACATATTCACTTAAATCGACCAATCTACGGGTCATCCCAAAATCTTCAGTCTGAATTGAAAAAAAAGAATAACTATGAAAAGACAGATGATGAAATAAACTTTTAAAATATCAGTTGAAGAGTCAAACAATATGAATTTACCATGTATATTAATCGTCTTATTATCGAGAACGTACAGAATTTTTCTAGTTACTTCTTAAACATGAAGTCATTATATTGGCTTAACCCCATAGAAAAAAAATCTTTTTGCGCCACTTCCATTTTTTAAAATCAACTTCTTAAATCATAATATATTAAGGTGGTTAATAGTAATGAATAATTAAGTATTTGTTTCCTACAGAAAACCCAGAAATGACCAAATTTGTTGCCGCCATAGCCGACACAGCCTGTCTTCTGGGAACTTTCCCGTTCTACTCCGGCGGATTATGGGAAGTGTCCCTAACTAAACCAACAACAATGTAAGTATCCAACATTGCTTTACCATTCCCTCCATTTACAAATACTTATTTATTTGTTTATTTAATTATTTTCTCAAAACTATTCTTAGTGTTTTAATACTTCGATGTCCTAACGCCTCATATCTTATTTGTAACATATTGTTTGGCAAAAGTTAAAAAAAAAAATACATCACTACTGTAAATATTTTTGTCTTGGTCAGATTGAATGACAAGTTGATGTCCAGCTTGGCGCTCAGAAGCAAAAAGGTTCAAACTAGAGTTAAACCAACAGATAAACAACATCAGCAAATACGAGCTACTATTGAAAGTCACGTGGCTAGTTCTGTGATGAGTTTGCTTAAGGCAAATGAAGGATTCTACAGGGCCTGCAACAAACGACAAGGGTAGGTTACTCTGTCTACTATACTTGAAATCGTAGAACATTCAGTAATAGTACTTTTGCTGTGTTCTTTTTCGTTACTTTCACCATATGATTTAATGATAAAAAATAGTTATGTTTCGAAAGAAAGTTACGAATACAAATATTTCAGCTTTTAAAATATTTTGAAAACCATTAAACTTTCGTCTCTACAGATTGTGCACAAAACTTGCCTGGGCTAAGCTTAACACCCTAGATATCTCTGCCATAGCTGAGGACGTGATTTCACGGGCTTCTCAAACAAATCTTAAAGTAAGTAATTATGAACATTGTAGCTGTTATTTTTGGGACTCAGATATTCGAGTCCTTGGCTTGCGATTTTCCTGTTTGACTAACTCAGATTTAGACCTGCTATATCTTTTGATATAGGGACGCATCAAAATTTTGTAATTGGTGTTCAGGACACTTCTTTAAAATTTAAACAAAACTTATTCTTTTAGTATCATTTTGTTACAGACAACGTAGTATAGGTGATAAGTCATTGAGCACGATCGCACGCGTGATTGACATTTCATGGGTCCTGATTCGATAAAAGATTTTTTAAAAGTTTACCTTCTTAACTTTCAGAATCTAGGAAACGTCTACCTGAAGAAAACAACAAATAGTTCTACACCAAGAAAGAAGAGGAAGGCTTGTTTTTCACGAGGTACAACCATTATAAGTCAAGATCTTTAAATGAAAATGTGGAACGTCCTTTCTTTATTTTCGAAAAATGCTCTTTACATCTCTATTGTGATTTTCTTCAAACCTATTGCAACATTTTCAATCAAACACTCATTTTTATAGATGGTTTGTGCTTCTCAAAGAACCGCAGTGGTTTCCGGTTAAAGATTTCAGGGAGAAAAGACGCCTCCAGCCCGTTGCCTGGCTTTTTTGATTTGCAATCAGGTACAATAGATTTCCATGTGCTTTATATCATCATGTAATCCTATATAATGGTTCCTCTTCTTCTTCTTCAGACATATTTATAAAAAATATTCATTTTTTTAATAAAATGAAATAACAATGATAATATTCATATGAATGCTTAGTGCTACAATATACTTTGAAAGACATGTCTTATGTTTAAGTGTATCTTTATATCTTCGATAATAATATTTTATCTTTTAGCTATGACTGTTAGTTTAAATTAATTGTTTAATTCGTTTAAATATAATTTTCATTTCTTTTCCTGACTGTAGATCTGCACGTGAAATGTAAGATGGGGTTACTTAATGGCACTGTTGGGTTCGGCTGGACCCGGAAGTCATCCTTTGACAGTGAGAAGACATGGGGCATGTTTGTTCATCCTCCTACATACGGGTACTGACTCTTCTACATACGGGTACTGACTCTTCTACATACGGGTACTGGCTGTCCAAAACATCAATAAGGACTCTAAAAACGAGATCTCATGTCTGGATTTTACTGGCAGAAAGGAGAACTTTTTTGCTTCCAATTAATTTATCGATGGAAAATCAAGGACATCGTAGACATTGACTTGTGACTAAATGTTACATTCATTCATTCATTTGCATATTTTCTTTAAATGAAAAGTATTTTGAAATTTTAATTTTACATATTCTTTGATACACTATATTTAGAGGTACAGGTTTTGATCGTAATCTTCTGTGTCATTTAGAAGCATAATAGAGGTGTAGGGGACAGGGGTTGGGGAGGGGGGATAGGGAACCGGGGGGTGAGGGTTGGGGAGCGGATAGGAAATCGGGGGATGGGGGTGGGGGAGGGGATAGGGAACCGGGGGATGGGGGTGGGGGAGGGGATAGGAAATCGGGTGAGTGTTATTTTGTTTTAATATTTTTATTATACATATTTAATATAATAATATCGATATCTTTAAAAACGTGGGACTCCAATAAAAAATGTCTATCTTTGATGATTTTTGTTTGTTTGTTTTATTCATAGAACACGACAATCTCTCTGTATGTCAGCTACCTCCGATTGTTAATCATCCACTCACTGCACGTAAAGATAACATACTAGATCACACATACATCATTGGCGCATTAGTTTCGGACTCCTTAAGAATCATTTATCGCTAGCTACGCAATGTCGATGAACTGCCACCAAAAATACATAAATGACTTGAAATGTGTTCATACTATAAGATTTACGTGTAAACTGATCGGTGAAATACCAGTATTATCATATCCCTAGATGCGACCTCAAATTCGCCCACCCGAAATAATCGACATGTGTTTCGGACATGTTACTGCACTTCCGTTTTTGATGACATCTCTAAATCACAGAGACGCTTGAGTTAGCTTAGTGTGACCCAGAAATGCACATGAATTACATCTCTATAACTTAGAAATATACATTCCAGATTACCATTGCAAATAATTTAGTTTCATTAAAATAAAATTGCTTTGCCAATTTCAATAAGCGTTTAATGTTAAACGTTTATAGATTCTTAGAAAGTTGAACTCACTATGCAGTGATCTGTCAATATCGTTTGCCTACGGAGCCCGTTAACTGACATGCTCCATACTTTCGAAAAAACGAAATAATATTTCGAAAAAACGAAATATTATTTCGAAAAAACGAATTAATATTTCGAAAAAAAGAAATAATATTTCTTTTAAACGAATTATTATTTTGAAAAAACGAAATCAAATAAGTATGGAACATGTCAGTTAACGGGCTCCGTATTTACCTGTATTACAAGCTACAACAACTTTATTTGTTCCATAAACTGCTTCCGGTTTTCACTGTCTGTATTATTTACATGTCGTATATTTCTAGAGAAAGGTCATTTTTGTAACAAAATAATCTGAATCTAAAAGCATTTGGACAGGATTGATATTTTATGAGAATAAAAATCAAAATACATGGTGTAAAGTGGTGGATATCTGTGTTTATGTGTGCCCCTTTTCAAAAGGTTTAGATTCGAGTTCTGATTGTTTGATCATATTTCTTGGTAAACTTCTTTTTTATAACACAAACTATTTAAATAAAATTCACTTTCATCTCTCGGTCTACAACTCGCTATTTAAATCAAATCGAAAATGAGTAGTTAAAAGTGATAATTTATAAATCATTATTTTTTCATTAGAAGACGTGCATGTTCGGATTTCAGTGGCCAAGAAATTGCGAGAAGGCGTGGCCTATCATTTATAGTCGATTTTTCTTCACATGACAGACGATAACGAAACATTGACATCTGGGGATGAATTGAAATGTTATTTCATCATATCTAGGAGAATGTTTGACATGTAAAAATGTGTAATAAGAAAAAATACATAGATTTGCCAATGAAATATATACTCATAATGTTTTATGGTGAAACCACAATATTTCATTCTTTCTTGAAGCGTGACATATTACAACAACCAAAATTATCCGGGTGAAAGGTCACGGAGGTCAATAATTTATGTGATACGGCTCGACAAATTAGCCGTTCCGAAATACATAACGGTCCAGAACCGATCTCCAGACAGTATATCATCTTAACTTGAAATCAAATTTAAGCAATAATTCACATGAAGACAACATCACACAAAGAGTAACTTAGCCAAGCAGCACACACAAAACAGAAGAACTTAAAATAAAAGAGACGAGAAGTAATCGAATCTCTTTGAGATCGAAAGGTTTTTAATGGAAACCGAAAACTTGCTTCCAATTTTCTAAAATCTGATATTCCTTTAGCTTAGAGTGCTGAAAAAAAACTCGCACGATTTAGACCCAGATTAGAGTCAAGAGTGTAAAAACAATGCTAAACACCAGGCCCCAATTGTATAAAACATCTCAACTTGAGATTTCCTCAAGTCGAGATTTTCCTCAGCTGATATCTCCTTGAAAACGGCTTGTATAAAATTTTCTCAAGGAACAGGAGGAAGTCATCGGCTAGGATGTCCTGAAATTCCTTGAGGAATTTTCATACAAGATATTTTCAAGCAGATATTAGCAGGAAAATATGGGCTTGAGGAAATCTTAAATTGAGATATTTTATACAAGTGGGGCCTGGTGCCTAGTAAAGTTCAAATCAAACAAGTTAATCTTAATGACGAATTTCCTGGAATCGAACGCGGGTCTACCAACTAAGCCAAGAAACCGGTTCCGTCAGCTATATAACAGGACAAGTATTTAATACTATGAACAAGAAATACGGACTTATTTCTTTTACACATTTATACAATCTCATGTACTTATGTTTGGATGTGAAGTTTTCTTTAAAAAAAACCCAACAACAACAACAAACAATACTGGAGTCCAATGTGGCCCGAATACCTGTCCGAACTAAGCACAACATGTTATATTCATTTGCAATGTGTTCAATCGAACACACTCAGATTTATTGTTGTGTTACGTAATAAATAACTTCCATCTGAATTACAGTTTAGATTTACAACTATTTTACAGCTATTGCAAAACAAGTTTTTGCAACTTATATTAACCACTTTTGTCGGCCAGATTAAAAGCGCACAGAAACCAGAGTACCCGGGGAAAACCCACGTGGTCACCCAAGTGACCCTTAACCTTTTCACGTCTGGGAATCGAACCAATCAAACCCTGACGCCTTAGTGGAAGGAGAGTGCGTTACCACTGCGCCAATCAACCGCCCATCAGCTCTGCTGTAGATTTCTACCATGACATATCTAAATCTGTACTCGAGAGCTAGAATGTCAAATATGTATAACGCTCTTGAATATATATTTTCTAATCCTAGGACTCATTTCGTTGTCCGTCGACTGCAGTTTGGTATTTTTTAAGAACACTCAAGCTTATTTTTGGAGTACTGGACCATGGTCATACGAGGCCCTAATTCCTCTTGTCCTTTTTGACTTACCATGGTTCACACACTAAACTTTATAACTAAAGACTACAACACCTTGTTGTCTTTTCAGTTTCCACACTTCTTCCTATCCATCCCCTATTTTAAGAAGAGAGTTGGACTTTGCTATTCCTGTTGTTTACGTTTACCATTGTTTAGTTAAATTTTTCAGTTTACTTTGCTTTTTGGACCTGTGATGTTCTACACATTCCCCTGTGGGGCTTAACTTTATGACAAGATCTTTTTCCGTTTACTTTAACACACTTTAAGTTAGGAAAGAATTTTATTTTTGTCCAGTTAAGGATACCTCCCTCAACTCCATTACCTCTTAGTTCAGCCAATACGTAACGGACGTAACGGTTGGGTACTTTATCGAAACCCTTACAGATATATCGCCAATGGTTCTCTTATTGTACTATTACCTCAATAAACTAGTTATGCATGAGTTACCAGTACGGAATCCATGTTCTTGTTCCGTCAAAATGTTGTTGTCCATGTGTTTTGTACTAGGGTGTCTCGGATGATTTTCCCTGAGACTTATTTTTGACACTTTTGTAATTCGGCGTTGGGTGGGTTCCACCAATTGGAACGTAGATATGAAATTCGAGAAGGACCCATTCATTATTTCTCACGAAATGGCGAATAGCGACGACAAACTTCCATTGTCATAATCCACGATGTCCATCCGCCAGCGTCTGTTTGTCCGGCGTAAAATGTTCCATTTAAATGACGTCTCAATCACCAAAGGTAAAACCCGACAAAATTTGAGAAAAAAACATAAATATTTTCTACTGATTACCAAACACCTCTAGAATCATGTTATTTTACTGATAGGTTCCTGTGATACAGCGTGGCAGCTTTGAGCAATATTGAAGGTCACAGTCATCTAACTTCTGATAATTAAGCAGAAGATCTAGAAGAATTTTGGGTGACAAATTTTTACAATGAAGCCCAACATAAAATTTGCGAAAAGAAACAACATTGAGCCATATTCAATGGAACTGGAGTCAACGATGTGAAATGTTAAATATATTTGTGAAAACATCCAACACCAAGTGAGCAGTGCAGTCCTAAATCACGGCATTTAGCAGACTCTAAATACACAATAGTGTTATTCTAATGCAAAAATAATGAAATAGTATATATTTGTCTCCATAACACACCATATTCATGTGAGCACAGATTCTAGCTGCTTTTGAAGTGAATGCTGAAGTGTTGTGTTCCTCCTTGAATGGAAGCATTTTTTAATTGTTGTTTTATCTATTCAATAAAAGAAAAAAAACATCCAAATGTCCTTCTATAAAGCTTTATTTCATAAAACATTGTTGACAAACGTATGTTTTAGTTTTCCTACAAAGCATGTCACAGCAGAGCAGTTCATCATTGGAACTATCATTAGTTGAACAGATTAGAAGTTGTACAAGCAAATTAAAGCACTTGAAGTCATCTGCTATAAAATTGATGTGCTTGTCAAAGTAGTAGCATCGTAAATATACCTTCAGAAAATTGACCAATCAAAACGGAGGAAGTATCTG